AGGAAACTAATAAACATAACACTATTTTATATGAGTTTCACTATATTAAAACTAGCCCATATCTAAGCGGACAAAAATGAAATCAGAAATGGCCTTTCCACCTACATTTAGATGATCATGTTTCAAGATATTCACAATTTCTGCTGATGTGATTGAATGCTAAGCTCACCTCCTTTTCCTTTGAATGCTTCTGCACCTATTCCATTTGATGTGTGATGACATCTTTCTTTGCTTTAAATGTGGATTTGTTAAAAAAAAAAAAATAAAAATTTCGCCCACATATTGAAAACCAGTCCTTCACATATGCACCGTTTCTTTCACACCATCATGCATGAATGCTTCTGTGTGTGTGTATGATGGGATAAAAGCAGCTCAGGGTCACTCCGACAGGTTGAGTGAAAACAGGAATAAATTGAGAAGAGAGGGAGAAGTGTTTATGCATGTTCAAAGAACAGAGTTGCTCTGAAAGTGTGAATGTGCTCACAGGATGATTAAACAAACGACAGCATTACTCATCATGATTTTTTGCAGAATTAAAGCAGGGAGTTAGTCCTACCTCTCCTCCTGCCTGCACACACTACCCAGAACTCGCTCAAACACATCTTAAATTAGCTTCAGGATTTGGCCCGTAATGGCTTCTGCGTGTGTTCTACATATACAAATCATGTCCAGCTCCGCGTTCTGTCACACACGAACATGGGTATCGGCAGCATAAAAACATGTTTCTTCAGGGAGAAAGGGAGGGGGGGGAAGTCCCAAGATACCGAGCATCTGTGCAATAGCTTGAATCACAGTAACTTCTTTTTGGCAGAGTCCGACTTCAAAGTGTGTGTACGTGTGCGAGTGCATGTGTTTGACAGCTCCGTCGGGCCTCTGAAGCCTGTAAAAACCATTCGCCGACGTCAGGAACGGAAAGAGTTAATTGTAGTCTTGAAATCATTAGTAGCGACTCGGAGCCAGATTCGAGCATTTAAAAATAACCTGACTACCAGATGTGTGCCGGGCGGTTTGTGCGTCCGTGTGTGTTACTCACTCAAGAAGCCACTGGCATTACTTCACAAACACATAAAACGCTCCACGAGATGCTGAAATGGATAGAAAAATATTGACACACATGCGCACTTGCATCTTGAAAGCATTATTTTTCTGCTGTGTTTTAGTTGTCGAATTAATAATAATGATGTGAAAAACGAAGCCAAGTCAGAGGAGGGGTAAGAACAATAAAAACACAAAAAAACGCTCTCAGTAAAAATTGGACCCTACAGCAGTTTGGCTTCAAACACACACACACACACACACACACACACACACACACACACACACACACTTCACCATCTGCTGCGCTTGAGTTACATTTCATAACTCATAACTGATCTGAACAAAAGACAGTTTTTTTTTTTTCCCATCAATGCTCAAAGTCGTTTCTTTGTTCTCGTGCAGCCACAGAGAACCATTAATCTTTAGTTTGCAGTTAATCAAAAGAATGTGTACAAGCGTATACTGTAGCTCAAACTCTGAGCACTTTATATAGCTCCTAAGAAGAATCTGTGTCATGCTTGTGTGTGTTTTCTATAAATTTTCATAGATGAAGAAACCTAGAGGAGAGAAGGAAGGGCTAATTAGTACATAAAACAGATGGTGGGAGCGTGCTTCATTAGAGCACAAATTTACTGAGCTTAAGGACAGAAATAGCTCTTAAATACAAAAAGCAAAATCACCTGTGATAAAGGAAAGGAAGAGCAAAGCGGTGTTTTTGTCGACACACACTCACGTGGCCAAGATCAGTTAATCCATCAAACGGCAAAGTCTGTATTTTTAGATAAAATGAGAAAAGGAAACCTTAGAAGGAAGTAAAGACATGAATTATCTAGGTCGACTATTTGATGATTGACAAAAGCTTAATTGAGAGCGTTTTTGATGATTAAGTCATTTATGTAGGAAGATATTCTCAGCGTTCTCAAATGTGAACTCTCTGTCGGGGAAGGTTGAATCAGAAGAGGATATTATAAATACTTGTAAGACCAAAGCTAGATTATGCAGTAACAGGGAAGCTGGAGTTCAAAGATTCCAGATAAAGGTTTAGCTATCGCATTAGCAACCTTGTTCCTCAGTGAAAGATCAACTTTAAGTATGTTTAGATGCACAGAATTCGAGTTTTTATCTGGTTTTCATCCTATTAGGAGTGTGATGTTTACATGGAACATGAAGCATTTTCTTGATTCAAGTGTCTGATTGTCTTGACTCCTGAACATTTCAGCCACTTCTCTCTGTAAACCTGGATAAGGTGTTGACATGCTACAGTATCCTGGTTTCTGTCAGATAAACCTACTCTGATATCCAGGTTTCTCTAAACCAGGATCAGCAAGGTCTCATCCAGGTGAAAGATGCACAATGACATCAGCACATCATCATTATCAGCTTTAAGCCTTTAAAATAAAACATGGCACGAGTCTAAAGTGAACATGGACAGGCTGATAACGTCCGTCAGGATAAGAGTTGATGGTTAAGAAATATTGCTTGTTTTACATGTAAGTTAGAGTGTACAGTTAAAAAAACATTGTTTTATGTCTGCACCTGCCAGTGGACCAACACGATGAAAGTACGTATAATCATTTGGTAATTTCATGACGGGACAGATCTGGTGTTCACTGAAGTTAGGTGGAAAAAATACATTAACATTGGTTTGGGCATCGGCAGTCGGCCAAAACGTGTTGGAAAATATCAGCATATTGAATGGACCAATAGAATAGTAGAGGATATTTTAGTTCAGCAAACAGAACTATCCATCCATCTATTATCTATACACCGCTTAATCCTCACTAGGGTCGTGGGGGGCTGGAGTCTATCCCAGCTGACTTAGGGTGAAGGCAGAGGACCCTGGACAGGTCACCAGTCTATCACAGGGCTACACTTAGAGACAGACAACCAAGCACACTCACATTCACACCTACGGACAATTTAGAATCACCAATTAACCTCAGCATGTTTTTGGACTTGTGGGAGGAAGCCGGAGAACCTGGAGAGAACCCACGCTGCATGGGGAGAACATGCAAACTCCACGCACTCCCGGGACGCGAACCGCTGACCTTCTTGCTGTGAGGCAACAGTGCTACCAACTGCTCCGCCTTTCAGCCCCAAACAGAACTAAATTAACTTAATTCAACAACAAAACAGCTGTAATAAAAGTAGTACTCACAGGTAATACACCAACAAAAGCATCTGATTACCTAATAAAAGAGAGAGATTTGTTTGATTGTAGATTTAACAAAATGGTGGGTAAAACAATTAGTCAGCCAGTTATAAACTGCTTTGAAACTGCAATCAAGCAACATAATCAACTGTATTACCGTAAACTAAATACCTGTTGGGTCGAGGACTATTAGCTGGACATAAGAAAACATTTGAAGAAGCCATCTTTTGCTCTGAGGATTGATGATTAGTTTTTCTTAAAACTTAAAAAAATAAAATAAAAATAACAATGCAGTGAAAGATGTAAAGGTTTAAAGAAAATTGTAATTTTACCATCCTACCTCCTTTTACTTAATGCAGGATACACATTAATGAGTCAGGATTAGAGCAGACCATGTCTGAGAATCATCTGGTTTTATTAGGATTTCTTCAGGATCAAAATAACTCTGTGATATTTGTCAGTACATCAAATAACACACAGCAAAAATTAACTGTTAACTAATTTGGGGGAACTTAAAATCAATAAAAGTGATGCTCATGTTGCAGCACAAAGTGTAACTCACTGCATCCATTGCACCATTATGCCTCGTGTTTGCTTCTGTTCAACCATGAAGATGTGTAATCTAATATTTTTCAAAATGCATTGCTCAAAAAACATTCAAACGTATCGATTACAGAGACTCCATTTAGGTTACTCCACTGTCAGCAGGTCATCTGTAAATGACTCAGGAAAAACATTTTACATCTGGAAAAACTTCAATAAGAAAAAAATATGACTTACATCCTTTAAGTATGAATGTAAAGCTACAAATCTGTTCCACTACTGAGATACTTAAATATGTTTCTCATGTGAAAGCAGGGATTTGTGTCTTCATGACAGTACGAATGATAAAAGTCAATGATTACAAACTCCAGACATCCTGCCGTTTATGTTGTAAGTCTCCCTGAGGAAGCCTCATTTAGCAACGTCATGTCCCGGAGTTGAACTTTCTGTGAATCTGATCTCAGACCTGTCACCAGCAAGTATCAGGCAGAACAACCTGTGACACCGTCGCTCCTTAATCCACTGTGTCTCGGCCATAATTGTCCAAATGGAGTTCTGGGCTGCAATGTTCAGTCCTGTTTAACCTTTGGGGGGATGAGTCGGCGTGTTTGTCACGGCTGGAGCGTGTTCATCATGTGTCATAGTGGGTCTGTGTGTCTCATAACCTCCAGAACAAATGAGAATTCCTTATCTGCGGCCTCTTTGTGGTCCTAAGAAGATAAAAAGACTGTTACCATGACTTCTGACTTAATACGGCTTCGTTTTTCAAAGATGGTGCTGTCATGTTATTTCACCCGCTGTCTATTTTGTGAGTGTATCTGTGATTGGTTCAAGCTGGTCAAAAGTGCATTTATTGTTTAAATCTTAAAAAGTTTGTAAAATTGTCTGCTATGTTTAAATTCAGTTCTGCCTCTCATCACGAGCCATAAACAGGCTGTTTGGAATGAGGTTGACTACATAAGGTCGTCCTCACATGTATTCACACCCTCCACTGGCCCACTGCACATCAGCAAAGTGCTCTCATTTGTCCAGGACAGATTAGTTTTAAAAAAAAATTATTATTCTTTTCAACCACAATTCAAAAGCAATGTCTTACTTTACTAAATTACAATTTATCAAATTTCTATTTATTATTACTTTTTTCAGTTTCTAACTTATTTGAGTGACTGTTGTGAATTTTGCCTTTTCTTAGAAGGGTATGAATACATTTGAGGACGACTCTGTCTGTGTCATAGTAACACAATAAGTGCCTTTTGGTTTCTCGCAGGTGAGCCCGAGTTTAAATACATCGCCAACATGCACGGCAACGAGGCCGTGGGCAGAGAGCTCCTCATCTATCTGGCTCAGTACCTGTGCAACCAGTACCAGCAGGGCAACGAGACCATCATCGACCTCATCAGCAACACGCGCATCCACCTCATGCCGTCTATGAACCCAGACGGCTTTGAGAAAGCCGCCTCTCAGGTGATGAGACAGCACAACGAAAATCACGCCGCATAGCCTAGAAACTTGATCCGAGGATTTAGCACCAGACAGATTAAGCTTACAAGACTACAAACAGTGACTTAGGAGCCACAACTCTTGGCTTTGAATTACACACACGCAGCAAGAACAGTAACTATTAAAGCTCTCAGACGCTGCCTCTTTACTCCTGTGTTTCCGTCTGAACGTCCAATCCTGTTTCCTGTGCAGCCCGGAGAGATCAAGGACTGGTTTGTGGGCCGCAGCAACGCACAGGGGGTGGACCTGAACCGTAACTTCCCCGATCTGGACCGCATCATCTACATCAACGAGCGGGAGGGCGGAGCCAACAACCACCTGCTGCAGAACATGAAGAAGGCCGTGGATGAAAACACCAAGGTATGCAAACAAACCAGGTGATTAAAGGATGAGGCTGGTGTTGGTTCATATTATCAGCAAATCCCATGAAAAGACCAAAACAGTGATGCATGAAGTCAAGACTTTCTTCTTCATCTGCCCCGTCTGGGTCACTCAGCCACAAGATAATGCTGATATAAATATACAGTCGTCCTCATATGTATTCATATCCTCCCATTAAAGAAGGAGAACAACAGCTGTCACTGAAATAAGTTGAAATTGACAAAAGTAATAATAAATAAAAATTTTATGAAAATCATGACATCGCTTTTGAATTGTGGTTCAAAAGAAATATATATATATAAAACAAACAAACAAACAAACAAGCAAAAAAGCATGATGGGACCTGTAAACTAACATTTTGTTGAACAACCCTTTGAGTCAATCACTGCAATCAAGTGTTTTCTGTAACTCTCAATCAGACTTCTGCACCTGTTGACAGCTATTTGGATTTTGGCCCACTGCTCATCAGCAAAGTGCTCTCATTTGTCCATTTAAAAAAAAAAAAAAATCTTTTCAACAACATTCAACAACATGTCTTATTTCACTAAATTGCAATTTAGCAAATTTTTATTTATTAGTACTTTTTTCAGTTTCTTGTTATTTGAGTGACTGTGACTCACTGAATTTTGCCTTTTCTTTAATGGAAGGGTATGAATACATTTGAGGACGTCTGTATATAGTTTCCTAAATTATTTGCCCACCTTCATTTTTAGTTAATGTTATTCAGATGGGAGCAAAAAAATGCATCTGTTAGGGTTTTCAGGTATGAAATAATGAACATTTGGTTCTCTGAGGATATTTACAGCAGAAGTTTGGCGCATAAGGATTGACTCAAAGCTGCAGCGATCCGTATTTTAATTAATATTCAAAATATATGGAATGTGGGCCGCAGGTTTAGCTCACCTGGTTGAGCTGGTCACCCATGTACAGGGGCTATAGTCTCTGATGCAGTGGCTATGGGTTCGAATCCTGCTCATGGCCCTTTGTTGCAACCCATTCCCCACTTTCCTGTCTCTCCTTTGACTGTCCTATCTAATAAAGGCTAAAAAAACAACTTTAAAAAAATGTATGGAATGAATAGCAGAGACAAAACTACAGAGAATTATCACTTTAATTGTAGTAATTGTAAATTATGTAAGGCTCCTATTATAAAAACAAAAAAACACTTATAAGCTCCTTTATAACATTTTCTAAATTGTTTGGTTTCTGTAGATTGGAAGTGACAATATATTAGATGCAAAAATGAATCTTCTTTGCTGCTTCAGTATGTATTTTTATGTGTTAGTTATTCCATTTTCTTCACATTTGCAGCTCGCCCCAGAGACCAAATCCGTGATCCACTGGATCATGGATATCCCATTCGTCCTCTCAGCTAACCTGCACGGAGGCGACGTCGTGGCCAACTATCCATACGATGAAACCCGCACTGGTACGTACACATGTACACACAACACTGCTACACTTCCTGTTTTCTCTTTTTCGGGCTGTTAAATTGCACGTAAACTGTTCCCCTCTTTTATGTGAGGTCGTTTCTGCTGATTTATTGAAACAAATATTTGAGCTGTTACTGAAACAACAAACACTTTTAATCGTTTTTCTTCAGAATGTCGTAAATGGGACTTAAATCAGACGGAAAATGTTCCACCGCATTATCACCCAAAGTAAACAAAGTGTGTTGAGCAAGCACAGGTTTAATTGGTTGCAGATGCAGGTGTTCTAGTAACACTTTATCACAGCTGCTGTCTAAACAGTGTTTGTTCTCCATCCTCTAAGGATCCACCCACGAGTACAGTGCCAGTCCCGATGATGTGATGTTCAAGTCTCTGGCCAGAGCTTACTCCATTTACAACCCAGTCATGTCCGACCCCCAGCGACCCCCTTGCCGCAAGAACGACGACGACTCCAGCTTCAAAGATGGCATCACTAACGGCGGGGCTTGGTACAGCGTGCCAGGAGGTAAGACACAACCGGCCTCCAGTGAGCTGTTTAGTTTTAGTGATGCTCAGGTAAGGAGACACTGTTTTATTTATGTTCAAACTGAGCTGGAAATGAGATGTTTATGTATCAATGTTAGAAAAAGACATTGTTTCCATCATTCACAGACTATATCTGACAACATTTACAAAAAATCTTTCATCCCATCTGCGATAACTGCACTTAATAAAAATAACTGCCCTTAATAGGAACACATAGACTGCCTCCCCCCCACAAATGATCCCTTTCATTTCTTTAAAAAAAACAATAAGTTGTGATCAAGGTATGTTCTGAGTGACATATTTTACGGTTGCAAAAAACAGTTGCTCTCAGGTGGAAAAATTTGGTAATGCAGACACCTTTTCTACAGAGTATTATTGTTTGCATTTGTGATGAGCTAAAGGTGGACATTTCTTGGCCAGCAGATGTGAGAGTGCGGTTCTGTTTGACATGTTAAAACAGCAGTTATATGTATCCCACTTGTCTGAATAAACTTTCACTCATCAACTAAATCTAGAAACCTAAATTCATACCTGCAATTGACCAAACCCAGGGTTATCTGACCATCATTGCCATGTTGCTCTAATGTTTCTGCCATTTTCACTCATTAATATCAGTCTTTCTCTTACTGACCCGTTGCAGGAATGCAGGATTTCAACTACCTCAGCAGCAACTGCTTTGAAATCACTCTGGAGCTCAGCTGTGACAAGTTCCCCAATGAGGACACTCTGAAGAACTACTGGGAGCAGAACCGCAACTCCCTCGTCAACTACATCGAGCAGGTAGGCAGCACGCTATAAATATCCGTACTATAAATCATGCTCTGGGCCCTCATCTGTTTCCATTGATGTACTTGATGCAGCTGACCCAGAAACAAAACTAAAGTGCGTAGTTTCAAGTGAATAAATGCTAATATTGAGAAGACAATGAAGAACTACTCAAAGTAGTTTGTTAGTGCTGAACTGACTCCTTCGACTGTTGTCAGAACTGCTCGAGGCACGTTTTCTGATTTTAGATTGGTTCATTAAGTCAGCTAATACAGCTTGATAGTAAAAAGAAACCAGCTTTGACTGTTAATAGGCCAGAGAACACAAACTGTGAAAAGTGGAATCTGACTAAGATGAAATGTCTTAAATTAAGACAATATATGCAAGTTCTTTGTCTGACAAGATGCTTCTTCTTACCACGCAGTTTATATGTTAGATCATTTTACTTGTATTAAACTATCATGATTAGATATTCTTAAATGGTTCTGAGTAACCTGCCTGAACACTTGGTAAGAATAAGATGCTGGAAACTAGAATGACAAGAATTCACTGACAAGTACAGAACTGTTTTGTCAGAGTCAGAATATCTTATTTTGACCACTTTAAAAAAAATAAAATAAAATAAAAATAAAAAAACCTGCCTATATTAAGATCAGAATGAGCTATTCAATTTTTTTATTGTCAGTCTTCAATCACAGCATTGAAATCATGCATTCCTACTGTCAAAATTAAGTTAAAAATTTTATTAAACAAGGACAGAAAAAAAGAAAAAAGTCTTATTACCTCCCACACAGTCTGCTACTGGCATCAACGCCCTAACACACTTGAACTTGTTCTATGGCACTCATCTGGATTGTTTTTCTCCTGACTAGATCCTTGCTTGAGTTGTATCTGCTCTCAGATGTATGTCACTTTGGATAAAAGCATCTGCTAAATGAAATTGTAGAATTGTAGACAGAACTTAAGAAAGTTCTGATAAAAAACAAACTGTATTGCAAACCTTTAATAAGAAGTTAGGGCTTGTGCTGTTTTTTTATATTTAAAGCCCTGTTATGTTTATCTTGCCTTAGGTCTCACATTTTCACTTTAGCCATAAGAAACTTTTATGTTGTTTTTGTATCCTTCCTGTAATACGCAGATTTGATTACTGAGTCCTAAATAAAAAAGTGAACAAACTGATTGCAGTGATTCAAGTCGACAGGTCAGGGAAGTTCTGGTTTTAGAGTAGCGACTCTGAAGCTAAGATATTAAACATGTACATATATACTAAGGTTGTGTTTTATATACCTTCCCATTAGATCAGTGAAGCTGTCACACCATCAGTACACTGAGTTGTTGGGTTGATGACAATCTGTGTTCACACCCATGGGTGTGTTCAATATGATGATCTATTTGTATTTTAAAAAGAATTGCTACGAAGAAAAACTCAAAGCGTCTTGTTGAGGATCATAAAGAATGCTTACTTGAGCACAATATTCTGTTTTCCTCTGTGAATTCCAGGGTATATGGTCGTATTTCAAGATCACTGCAATAAAGTTGGATGCTAAATTTATGCACATATTCTTACACATTAAGACATCCTTTAAGTTCCATTAAGATTAACATGAGAGGCTTTGATGCAGAAAGACAATTTAAACCTACCTTCACTGCTAGTAAGTGTTCTTACAAGAGGTGTCGGTAACACTTTATAAGAACTATCCGTTATAACTAGTTAATAGATAATTTGTAAACTGTTAATTAATGAGTTATTAACCACTTGTTAAGTGTTTGTTAATAGTTTGTTGATGATTTATAACGATGCCTTATAGATAGTTAATAAACCATTTACAAACTGTTAGTTAATGAGTTATAAATGACTTGTTAACTGTATATTAATGATTTACAGCCATACCTTATAAACCAGTCATAGATCATGAACAAGCCATTAGTGAATTACTTACTAATGAATTGTTAAGTATCAGTTAAAAGTTTATATATGTTATTGGGACGTTATTCTAAAGTTGCAACTATTCCTCATTTATTAACTGCTGGTAAATGAGGAATAGTTGCAACTTTAGAATAATGTCTCAGTAACATACATAAACTTATAACTAACACTTAACTACTACATTAACTCACACTTTACAGATCACTTGTTAATAGTTTGTTAACCATCTACCAGTACCTATGAAACGTTGTAGAACAGCAAATGGGTGGAACAAGTTCAAGGTACAGAAATTTGATGTGATATTTAAAATATCACAGTTGTGTACCTCAACCACCCATAGACTTTTCTGTGTATTATGTTTTACCAAAGACATACAACAGATAGAATGTTGAACATTGTCTTTAATGTATGAGGAATAAATGAGGAATAGTTGCAACTTTAGAATAATGTCCCTAACAGTTTACAAATGATCTATTAACTAGTTATAACGGATAGTTATTATAAAGTGTTACCGAGGTGTCTTGCCCAGAAAACGTATTCCAGCATTTAAACAGTCAGCACTCTGGTGTGGACATCGTCTGCCTTTCTATCTCGTTGTCCTTGTTCATGTTAGATTTTTTTAATGATCAGGTTAAGGATTTATGTTTGGGTGCATCCTGGCCTCCAAAGATTTGAAAACAAATCAAAACCACAGATTACAGTCTCTGAATCAAACTGAATATGCTTCTTTGTGCGTCTCTGTGTATGCAGGTTCATCGTGGCGTCAAGGGCTTTGTCCGTGACCTCCAGGGCAACCCCATTTCCAATGCCACCATCTCTGTGGAGGGTATTGACCATGACTTGACCACAGGTATGAGGATTCAGTGCAAATTCACACAGTCTTAACAAAACTAACACACACTGCATCCGAGTGGAACTGAAGCATCATGTGAGAGGTCCCAGCAGTAAGATGCTGCAGTGCCTCCATCTTGTGGACATAGTGGGAACTGCACCAGCTGCTTGCCTGATTTCTGTTACTTGCACCTGCTTTTCATATCACAGTGATTGTAGTGGGCAGTTAAAACAGTCAGTCTTGTGAGTGTGCTTATTTTCATAACTGAGCATCAGGCGGCTGCTTTGTGTGTTGCTTGCATGCGTGTATTAATGAAACCCTGTAATTTGTAGCCAAAGATGGAGACTATTGGCGCCTACTGGCTCCAGGAAACTACAAAGTGGCAGCTTCTGCTCCAGGATACCTGACTGTCATCAAGAAGGTGGCTGTTCCCTACAGCCCTGCAACCAGGGTAAGACACAACCCAATCGACCAACCTACATTGTGTGCATCTTTCATCTTTATAAAAGGTATCTTGAATTATGCAGTTATATTTCAAAGATGTCTAATCTCTATTCATGAATCAAAATATACTCAGTTAAGTCCTGCTCGTCGTTTGTGCTTGAACACGTGGTACAACTGACGGAGCACTTCTAACATGTATTCAGTAGCAGCGATAGGTTCACAGTTTATGTCGGCAGTTGTATGAGCATCCAATGAGAGCAGTTTGTGATCCATCAAAACAAAAGCCCCTTTCAGAGATCGTACCAAACTGGAGAAAAACAAGCCTGTGTAATGCCGCTCCAGTGTGTGATTCCTTGTAACATGCCACCATAACGGGATTGTTACATGTAACACAACAGCACCAGTGTGTCGTGTGGTGTGTCCTCCTCCTGTCACTACCTCTGCTGCTGGCTTAAAGGCACAAAAACAATACCATCCCATTCCATCTCTGTACCTTACATAGAGAACAGTGATTCAGAATAAAGGCGTAACAGTCCCGCTTTGCACAGGCTGTTGAAATGATATCTGCGTGAGACACATTGTGGCAGGCTACATATGACTACGGGCTGACGTCTAGCTCAAATATCTTCATTTTTATAGGACTGCAGATCTGAGCTATCAAGATTACAAAAGACAATTAGAAGACTTTTAAAGAGCTGCCACAGTGGCAAGCTACATGTTTCAAATGCTAAAGTTAAAAAACATGGTAGCACAAGTAAAGAATAGTAATAAAGTCAACAAGTTGGCCATTGTAGGGCAGCATCTATCAAGGGTTTGCAAACACTAGCTGACATTAGACCCAGAAGCTATTGTTT